GCAAGTCATATATCTAGTCCACTAAAAATAATAAATTAGTTATAATTACTGATTTTATACGAATTACCAAAGTCTGTTATAAAACTATGATTCGAGTTTAATTCATTATTCGTTGTTCAAAAATAAATAGTTAAATGATGAAGAAAAATATTAACAAGTAAACATATACATAAACGTACGTAAAATATATAAATTATATAAAAAAATATGTACTATACATATAAGCATTTTATATAATTATTTATTATAAGTATACAAATACAAGAAAAGATAATATTTACATTTTCTTCTTCTTCGGAGGCAATTAAATATTTCATAAATGCATTTGCATAATTATGAAGCACGGATAATGTCTCTTCCAATTGAACTTTTCGCATTGCTGCCTCGCGTTCATCGAGCAATATTTGTCTCTCCGTATTGTATTTTTCTAGTCGAATCTCTTCTTGCATATCTTTAATCATCTGCATTCTTGATTAAAAATATTTTATTAACAAAGTAGTAAAAAAGCTCTAAGTGTAGTGTGAATACTTATTTTCTACGTTAACATATTTTATTAATATTATCAATTCACTAATTTAACTAAATCTCGATAGTTTAAAATTACTAAAACAGACAAATTGATATAATACATTATATTGATTTAACTCCATTACTACAATATTAATCAACAAGTCTTGATAAACACTTCTGTGTTAATATTTTATTTATTGTATAATTTAAGTAATCAAATATTTAATTTAATTGTTACCCTCTTCTGTAATTGATTGTCTAAACTCATACCTAATTCTTTCAGCTTCAGCAGCTGCAGATGCCGCCTGCTCTTTTTCTAACGCTTTAAGTGCTTTTTTAGTCATTGTTTCAGTTTCTAGAGGTTTAGGCTAAATTAATCGAACGATGTAATTATCCTTTTCTTTGATAAAATTTTTATGTGAAAAGTGTGCACCAACTGATACCTGCGAAATAAAGTGTTTATTATTCTAACTGCATTATATTACATTGTATATATGTACATATAACACGATATTTGTAAAATTTGGAAAATATTGAAAGAAAAGCAATAAAAAAGAACAAATTATAATTTGATATTTTTCGGGTATAACTAAAAAATAATTTTAAAAACAATAAAAAACGCTTCGTTATTTTAAAAAATATTTCTAAAGGACTAAAATATTTAATAATTTGTTATAAAATATAATTTAAAATATTACTATTAAAATATTAATGTTGTTCATTCCAAGAATTTTTAATATTTTTTTTTGTATAATGACTAAGTGCATACATATTTGTGTGACATGGGTAGTAAATTTAACACTAAAAAACATAAAATGCACAATAATATATTCAAAATCTCTTAGATAAATTATTTAATGCAAAAGAGTAAGACAAAAATTAAAATGTTTTATACGTTTTCGAAAATGTGTAATGCTACAAAAGTAAAATTACCTGTATCGCACTCCATTTACGTAGCTAGAACAAATTAATACACATTAAAGTTATAATATAATTTTCATTTCTATAAAAAACATATTTAAATTAATTTAAATATTCTATATAAGTAATTGTATTGTAATCATTTAATATGTATATCTATATATTTAGATACCTTTCTCAATTCATTAATTCCTATTAAAATGTAGATATATGTATAATACCATTATTTGTAAATATCATTATCTATTAAACTTTATCTAATATGTACTGGTTTGCAATTATTTACAATAAATACAAAAAACAAAATATAATTAATAAAACAGTATAAAATTAAAATAAAACAATATTAAATTAATAAAATAATATAAAATTAATAAAACAATATTACACTATTAAATAAATAATATGTAAATTCTTTAAAAATTCATTTATGATACAAATATTTTACTTATTCGTTGATATATCAGGATATACGATATTCATGTATGAAAGGTATCGCGTATGTATTTGATGAAAAAAGTAAAATAGGTTTAAAAACAATTCAATTAGCATTAAACAATTCTTTTTATTAAAAAAAGTTATTTATTTTTCATTAATTATAATATTTTAATTCAATGAAATTCTATAATTCTTTTCTAGATAAGTAACATATTAAAGACGTACTAGAGATGAGAGGGTTGGTAATTTTTTTATCTTAGGTAATTGCCAACGTATATAATCTTTGTCTTCTTCATATTCATCATATGCTGTTTCAGAGTTCGAGATGGAACGCAAGAAATTACTGTTTCCAGAAAATGATGTTTCACTTTGTGCCTTATCATCAATTCTGTTTTCTTCAACAATTACTTCCTTTGGATTTCCAACGTTTCTCTGAATGGAATTTCTGCGAATAGAAAAAAATCTTAATAAAATGATATAATAAAAATTTTGAGTAAAATTAATAATTACTAAACAATGAAAAAATTTCTCAAATAAAATAAGATTTAATTAAGTTGTCAATACATATAATTTTTTATGCAAACTATATTATGGCACCATTTGGTTTCTTACTTTACATCGAGAATATTTCTAGGATTAGCAGGAATCGAGCTATCAATAATATAACGTGACATTTTTTCATCAATTCCTTTTTCAGATTGCATGAGTACATCCGCGTAATGCGAACGCTCCATTTTATTGAATGTTATTATCACAGACTAAAAGTCTATGGTTATTCTCTGGGATTCTCACCAAAATATTTACAAAAATCGAAAATTAAACTTATAATTACATCGCTTTATAAAAAGGAGAAAATTGTTATAATCAAGAAATTATATAAATTATAAACTTTTATTAAACTGTTGATGAATGATTAGTTTTAAATCTAGGTTAAACAAGACTATGTCAAACCCGTAACAAAATAAGTACTAAAAACGACATTCTTTTCACATAAAAAATTAGATTCACGTGAATTGCAAAAAAATTAATGCCATCATTAATTTAAATATAATATAAACAACTTTGATTTATCTATCGATTTCTATCATCATTTTCGTTTAATTATTCGTGTCTAAATACATTGTATAATTTATTTATTAATTTAAATCTGGACTTTTATTCGTTATATATATACCTCATAGAACGAATGCATTATGCATAAGAAATTTCTTTCTCAAGAACAAACTTAAATGCTCAATTCTATCTGACTGTAATTCTACTTGACTGCTTAATTCTACTTTTATAAAGTTACGAATTAATATTTGTTTTACGACAACGCGCCTATACTGCAGTTATATTATATGGTATTTTCTTATATATACATATATATACATATACATAAATCAGCGTTGCGTTACCAATTGAATCACTTTCTTTCATATTTTTTCGAGATTTTCTGCAAACTTTTTTGTATTTTTTAAACTAAAGGAAAGGAAGGAAAGGATATGCAACAAAAGAAAATTTATTTATAAATATTTCCAATATTCAAAACCATATGACTTAAGATGATATTTAAAAATGACTTTTCTCTCTCTCTCTTATAGAGTTTCCACAAAATATACAAATGTTGTTAGAAATGTATTATCTCTATTCATGCAACAATTAATATTGTATAGATATTTAAATGACATCTTATTCATTATGTATAGACATATGTTTCCTCAAAGACATTCAATAGATTTTTATGTGTACAATGATACCATCCAAATACTTCGTTAGTACGTCCAATCCCAACTGTCACAGAGAAGTTTGAAACTATTTTTTTTAAATAATGTTTTTGGTAACAAAAGAGAATACATTGAACAGTTTTCGTTAGCAAGGTCCGAGAATTAAAAACGGTAAAAAAAAAATTATTTGGTTTTAATCTGGGAAGCCAATTATGAGGATTCATTTTCATTACCATTTTATTAAAACAAATGAGTAAAAATTTCTCACTAAAATGTCTTATAATACTGCGCCTTTTATTTTATTCTACATTATTCTATTTATACTATAGAACAACATTTGCGGACGTAAAGATGTCAAATTATTCCGTGAATAAAGAATATTACTTTGAAAGACAATAAAAGTCATTTGCAAATTAATTTTTTCATATTCATTGAATTTTATTGCCATTATATGTATATCTAGAATTCTGAAAAATTTCAAATGAAACATAATTTACATGTAAGAATAATATACGTTTCTCACGATTGTAAAGATAACTTATGCAATGTTGTGCACATATCGAGCATATTGTTATTATATATATATAATTATATATATAAGATGTTTTCCAATCGTTTATAAAAAAAATCGCAAAGCTTACAATGTAGGATATTCAGAATTTAAATGTCAAAATTTTGGGAGCGTGTAGAGGATCAATGAACTAAGAAAAAAAGTTTTGTAAAGATATGCTCGTTTTCGCCGCGTTTTGGAGAAAAAGGCAAAACGTAGTTTTCGTTTTTGTACTTTTTTATTACTTATTCATGTGTATTTATTTACTTGCTTACTGTAGATATTGCTTAAAATGTTGGCCTCTTGCAGAAATGCAAGCATATCATCAGTACGGACAGCTCATGTTGCAGCTGTCAAACACTGATCTGGTAATATTTAGTGAACTTCGAGTTCTCACTTGTTCTCTTAAGTTGACAACGAATAATCTTCCTACTTTAGGACTCTCCACGCAAAGAAATGGTGTCAGATCAGGCGGTCGGGGTGGTCATGATACTACTAATTCACGTCTCCATCCAAGAACAAAGCAATTAATATGTTTTGTCTTTTTCGCGATTTTCTCCAAAACGAAACAAAAACAAGTATATTTCTACAAGTCTTTTTTTCTTAGTTTATCGATCTCTTACATACTACCAAAATTTTTATATCTAAATTCCGGACTCCCTGTATATGCAGATTAATATATAAATATGTAGAATCTTGCTCTTTGAACTTTGAAGAATATCATTATCATTAGACATTCTATGTCATTTCCTGTATTTAATTTCTTATAAGACTCATTTATATGTTTGTCGTGTGAAGACAAAGTGTTGTGATTTCGTACCGTGTTACAAAAATCAAGTGATTTTTATTAAATTTATCCACGTTTGAATAAGACACACACATATACACACATTTTCTCTCTTTTTACCATTTATTTGCCATTTTTTGTATAGTTAATTGATTATAGTTCGTTACGTTTAAACATGGAAAAGGATATGTATATTCCGGCCTTTTATGCTGGTCGTAGCATTTTCATTACTGGTGGCACTGGTTTTTTAGGAAAAGCGCTCATCGAGAAGCTCCTGCGCTCGTGTCCCGATATCGCAGAAATATTTGTACTAATAAGGCCAAAAAAGGGACTGAGTATTAATGATAGACTTAAAAAAATTTTAGATAACAAGCTTTTCGACAAATTACGAAACGAACAACCATCCAGTTTTGATAAAATCATCCCCATAATTGGAAATGTAGCTGTTGAAAATTTAGGATTGCTAGCCGCTGACCGCGATATCTTGATTGACAAAGTATCCATAATTTTTCATGTTGCTGCTACCGTTAAATTTGATGAAGGATTGAAACAAGCAATTTTCAACAATACCAGATCAACACGTGATATTTGTATCTTGGCCGAAAACATGAAAAAATTGATAGTAAGTATATATTTACTATTTTGTTTAAAATCAAACTTATTATATTTTTTTGTAAATAATTAACAACAAATATAATTTCTAACAATAACATCTTTATTAATAATTCTACATGATAACTTGTATGTTTTAGGGGGGTAGTTGGGTATGAAATTTTCAAAAAAATCAATTTTCCAAATACATCATTTTCGTGCACCAAATACATGTAGAAATATGTTAGTTAACGTAAATTTTGTGGAACCGATCGAAAACAGGTCGAAAATAGCAACACAATGCGGGGTCCTCCGAGCGCTCGGCGTATACCTGCGGCGCGGTCGAACAGCTGGCGCTCTCTTCCTCTCGACGTGAATATTTGGTTTCTTAGCATTTTTCAGTTTCAGTTGTATGGCAGTTTACCTTTATACTGAAGGCATCATGTATGGAGTAGGAATTGCCGACTGATAGTAAGACGAATTTTTCAATTTTTACTCACTTTCTCGCAACAAAAACTTTAAACGCGTTTTTCTCGAAACCACTTTTTTTGACATGGGGGACAAGATTGTGAAAAAACTACTGAACGGATTGAGCTGAAATTTTGAGGGGTTGTTCTAGACATGTCTACCTATGGTATATACTACGGATAGAAATATTCATTGACATTTAATATATTTTTTAAACAATTTAAAGTGAAAAAATAGGGTGAAAAATTCAAAAATCCGCCATTTTTTTTTTTACACTACCGGGGTGAAAGTTTTTAGTATATACCATAGCCACGCACCTACTCTTTCAGAAAATACCCGGACTTTTGTGTCAGACGACCAGAAGCTGCGGAAAAGTGTCCCCCGTGCGAAAGACAGGTCTACTTCGGGCAGCCAGGACACCGCCAGGGTTCCCAAAAAAAATATCTCATATATCTTTTATTAAGTCTCTTTCAAATGGTATTCGTAACTTTTCGAAAAATAAATTTTTTGTGTGTTAAATAAAATCTTTAAAAAATGGTCGTTCATACCCAACTACCCCCTTAATATAAGTTATAAAGTGCATTAAATTGAGAGAGAGAGAGAGAGAGAGAGAGAGAGAGAGAGAGAGAGAGAGAGAGAGAGAGAACTATTGCCCCAAAATAAATTCTCAACATTAATAATGTCTTAACATCTAATTGTATAATTCAAGGTTCTTTTGCACGTTAGTTCAACATATACGCAAATTGACAAATCTGTAGTGGAAGAAATTTTATATCCTATCGAATATAACTGGAAAAAAATGATAAAAATTGCTGAGTCCACACACATCGACGAACATGTCCTTGGAACATTCACTGCAAAGTAAGCTTTATAGAAAGCGAAATGTGCTATATATTGTTACTTTCAAAAAGTAAATGTTTAAATTTATTTACAGAACCCTAGAAACGGTGCCAAACACTTATATTTTTAGTAAAAGAATGGCTGAGCAAATAATAAGCGATTATTCAAAATCGTTGCCATGTGTTATCGTAAGGCCTTCAATCGGTGCGTACATAATGTTAACATACACATTCAATCATTACTTGCATTTGTTTATATATATATATATGTATACTTTTATGTTAATCAAATTTTTTTGTTTAAAATTTTTTAAATTGTTTTATATTTGTAAAAAATATGTAAATAATAGTTGTTTTATTAAAAAAAAGAATAAAAAATATTTTTGACACTTTCTAATTCTAGATTAATATTACGTCTATATATAAAAAAGATTGGAATTAGTTATTACTGCCTTTTTGATCATTTTTGTAGCCAAGTTTTTAATAATTTTTGATAAATTATGTAACCAAATTGAATTTCTCAATAATTAATAAAAAAAAGTAATTAACAACGATTTGCAAATCGTGTATCCTCACGATTCAATGACAGGAGTAAGTCCAGCATTACGCATCATTCGTGATTGTTCCTCCTCAGCATCTTTACGTGCAAATAATATAATAATTGCAACGTAATGCTGCGCTCTGGGCTACCTTTTTTTCACCGCTATTTATTTGTCATTAAATCGTACGAACGCATTTTTATGGTAGAAGATTGTTTTATTTTGTTTTTTGCTGTATCTGTTTACGAGAAATATGTATAAGTACAATTATCAGATTTTCTATACATTTTAACAAAGTATTTAGTTTTCATACATATAATATGTGTTAGGTAATGCAAAATATAAAATTGCTTACTATTATATATATCTCATATTAAACATCATAGAAAACATACTCGTAAATTAAGATATTATTAAAAAACAAGTTAAAATAAAATTATATAGGAAATTGATGATGAAATTACTTTCTTTATTTTAGTTATATCAACAACAGATGATCCAGTGAAAGGATGGATTGACAATTTCAATGGCCCAATTGGTATGCTTATAGGAGGCGGCGTTGGCATATTACGTGTGCTACGGTGCAATCCTACTATTGTTTCAGATTTCATGCCTGTTGACGCAGCCATTAAAGCTCTCATAATTGCAGCTTGGAAACGTGGAGTTAATACGTAAGCACGACGCACGACACACTTACGATAAAATAAAACAACTTAAATTTTTGATGTATTACATTCAACGTTTCTAAAAGTATTATGTGCATTCAATTTATTTATATTAAAATTCATTTTATGTTTTAGTGAGAACAAAACACACACAATTGATGTCTATAACTGCTCTTCAAATGGTATAAAGCCTATAGACTTAGAAAATATGGTTCGTATAGGCCTCAATCTTACAAAGGATGTACCTTTGAATAATGTTATTTGGAAACCAGGAACAAAAATAACAACAAACTTTTATGTGTATTACGTATTAGTGTTATTTTTGCATATCTTTCCAGCAGTTATTTTAGATGGCGTTATGAAATTATTTAGTGTGCGCCCATTGTAAGATTTATTTACACAAACTTATTATAATTAAATTATAATTAAAAAATTATAATTGGATTAAACTATACAAGATATAATTATTGAATCTTTTTACGGATGTTTTGACGCGATAAAAATTAATTAGTTTGTGGTGAAATTTTTAATACTCCCGATTATACATACATTTTAATTTTGGCAATAATAGACGTTTAAACAAAACATTTTCTAAAAAGCACAATTAATAAAAATATTTGAGAAATATATCTTTTAAACGTTTTTAAAGTTTTATTAATAGTGGATATTTGATTTTCTAAAATTATATTATAAAATTTGTAAAATAAAACTTGTAAGTTTCTTCTTTTCTGAATACTAGTTAAATATCTAATAATGTATTCAATATTTGTAGCTTGCTCCGATTGCAAAGAAAAGTCTACGTTTCTAACAGCGCTTTGTCATATTTTTTGCTTAATGAATGGAAATTTCATAACGTAAAATTTTTAAATATACTTGATAACCTCAGCGTCAATAATAAAAAGGAATTTGGATATGCTTATCAAAGTATTGATGCATTGGAATACTTTAAGTGAGTACACACAACACACACGCGCACACAACTTATATAATATTACATAAACTGTAATATAATAAAATTGTATTTATCTACACTGACATCATTTTTTATTTGCAGAAATGGAATAATTGGTGCAAAAATGTATTTGTTAAATGAGAAGATGGATGACTTAGAAATAGCCAAACGTCACTATAAAAGGTGAAGTACATCTCACATATTGTGTAAAATAGAAAATAGAGACTTACTAAATAACTCTTTGATTATTTTTAAATCCGTTTTGTCGTCACAAATTTTCTTCAAGACACTAATTAAGAAATACAATAATGTTTCGTGTGCGAAGCTTTCTTTACAAATGATTGAAAGTAAAATATTAGAACTTATTATAAAATTCCAGTTACACTGAACACGTGTCACCTAATTATTTTAATATAATGTTAAATGCACTGCACACAAATGAAAAAAATTAAATTGTGATAAAATTAAGATTAACGGTAAACCTGTTAATTCGAACAACTGAAAAATTAATAAACGGATAGAAAATTAAAAGTAGTGCTACGTAATGTCGCACAGTTACGTATAACCGGTATAACCAGCATTGTTTGGTCGATCGTGGTGTTGTTAGCTAGAAATTAGGTCGTAACGTGGAAATATAACTCGACAACCGCGACGAAAGCTTTCGTAAATTGTAACGTCAGTCAAACTAAATTTAGAAATTTGTTAATTTTAGTTTTACTTAGAAGAGCCATATGTTTGTTATAAACTTTTCGTCTAAGTTCAGCGCTTATGTTTGTGAACAATTAAATAAAAAATTTTTTTAATTTTTTGAGGAATAATATAAATTCCTATATATATTATATTACTAATTGAATCGAATTGAAGAAAAACTAAAACTGACCGGTATGTTACAGTAGGTAAACGCAAACTAATGGTTTGTATTTGACTTCTTCATTGAAGAGGAAATCAATAACTGTAACGTTTGAGTTTATTTTAACTTCAGTAGGTACATCCCAATTTGTTGTAAACTGTATCTATTGTGTATGAATAATCACATAGGCATTTCATTTGTATTACATTCATTCTTAGAATCACAAATATTAATGTCTTAATTTTTTAATAGTATTTTAATTTAAAAAAATGTATATATAATATAATCGTCTTTTTTTTGCAAAAATTACTTCATGTAATTTGATTTATTGATATAGATTGCTTGACATCACTGTTTTTTTTTTTTTATATAAAAAAGGGAAATTTTATATAAATTCTGTTCGAATTGATTTATAATTACAGCTTATCCTTGTATATAATACAATTGCATCATTTATTCTTTTTTTAAGCACTTAATACTGTTCTAGTATGTAGCTGTTATCGTATTTTTGTTATCTTACAAAGCTTTAACAATCATCAAGTTAATATATTCCAACTGTATTGAATAAGAAACGATAAAGCTATATCGTCTATGTCAATTACTGCATATAAAACAATTAGTATATATATATATATGTGTGAGATAATTTCTGCATAAAATTTCTATACATCTTAACGATCTCGCTACCATTTCATTATGAGTACACATTACATGTTTTACATTTTTAAATATAAGAATGTGTATATTTGATTGCTAAAACTTTAAAAACTTTTACTAATGATTATATTTGCATTGTAATTGTATTGTATTTATGTAATTCGATATTTGCATATAGACGTAACTCACGGATTGCGGGATTTACATTTCACGCTCGTTTTTTATATTTATAATTTAAACAATTATAAATAATAATATTAAATATTATTTGCATGTGTAAGAGAGAGAAAGCCTCTGTTTCAAGCTACTCGCTAATGCTGAAACAAAGAAGCTATTATGGCTTAGAAATAACTTCCAAAGGATTTAAAAAAAACGGTGATAGTACAAGACAATACAAATTATATATCAGACATTTCTTATCAATGTCTTAACACATCTATCTATTGCAATGCTGACTCAGATATTATTAAATATTCCGTTAATTTTCCTTGTAAAATACGACGAGAATCTACGTCAACTGATTATAATTAGCGTAATCAGCATGATCGATACTCTCGGGAAACGCTTATCTTAACCTTTCCTCTCTTTTGGATTTCCGAAGTTCGACGAATTTATGTCAATATTCCTCGTGGAAATGCCTCATGATTAAATTTATCTAATAAGTGAATCAGACATAGTTATACAACAATTATTTTTAAAATGTTCAACTTTATATTTAAATTGGTTGATTACTTCAACATTTTATTAGTATCTTAAGTATTAAAACAAGGCTAAAATAATAATTAATATGTCACTTTGATGTTTCAGAATGGAATGGATTGATACAATAACCAAGATATTATTTATCGTAATCATTTTATGGATACTTTATCGTAAGAATATATTCTGTGATATTATAAATATATTTTAATATATATTTATTTACCATCACCGCCATAGATTAAAATGATTACATAAAATGTACAATATATACATATATATGTATATACATATGTATACATTTATTGTATTACATAGAATTAAGATTTTCTAAAATATTTCTTTGTAAAAAGGTTTTATAATATATGCTAACATTTTTTTTAGTAATTTTTTCTTGTAATATTGTATATAGCGTGTGTATGTGTGTGTGTGTGTGTGTGTGTGTGCAGTAAACTTATATAAAATCTATATATTTAAAAGAAATTATGTTCAAGCTGTTCTAAACAGATTTGTATAGCATTGTACATGTGTATATGACAATTAGAAGTATAGATACATATTTCTTTAAATGTGTATCTCTTGTGCAAAATATCAAAAATATATGAAATAAATATTTGTCAATACACATAAATCTTATATAATGCAAATAATATATTAAAATAGTAATAAATATAACGTTTCACTAATCGAGATAGGAGTCAAATTGGAATCTTTGACACTTTTAATAGAATACTTATAATCTCAGCGATTTTAATATTAAAGACTTATTTTAATTCTTTAAACTTGTAAAACAATTCCTATAATATGTATTCTTTATTTAATTGTAATTATAACTATATAATTTACCTGTACAGTGCAATTTATTTCAGCAACATTGCAACATTTTAGTAATATTGTAGTAATTTTGTAAATGTTGTAGCAATATTGTTGTAAGCTTCTGTACTGTACAGGTAATTATAACTATCTCAAGACTCATAAAAAATAAATTTCATCTTTCAACATTGTTATTTCGCTAATAATTAATAAATATTTAAAAATATATATGCTACGTACTTTCTTGTTGCAATGTGAGTGTTAATATTATTTCTGGTTGTATGTATCTATATAATAAATTAAATCTCAATTTCTTCAGAAAGAAATTGAAATTTTATTGGTGCATACGTGATAAGTATATGCAAATTTAACTTAAAAAATCTGTCTTTGTCTTGACAATTTATGCCACAGTCTTCTATCAACATATACTATATGCTATTTTGAGAATTTTTTTTAGTTATCAGTTTATTTACAAAAGCAATACTTTGTTCATATTGAACAATTTTAACTTACGATTATACACATTGCAATCCGTCTATATACTCTGTAAAATCATCGTATCTTCAAGAATCGCGAAAACCTGTTTTACTATTCAAGGAAAAACGCCATCTAAGTCTACTCCGATTGTTGGAACAGATTGTAACCGATGTCTACTTCTTGGTAAGAAGGCGGGGTATGTGATCATGACATCAAATCTATCCGATATATAAAATTTTTACTGCAGTCAATGCCAAAATTCAATTACACACACACACACACACACACACACACACACACACACAAAACGTCAAATTCCGACTAACTTAATCTATATAATTACTTTTACTGACAGAATTACTTACTGTAGCAAAATTTCTAACTGTATGTAATTTGTTGTATTAAATTTTTCTTTTTATACGTCAAACAAATGAAAAAATAAATTCTATTCATGTTAACAGTACAAATATCACTTAATTAGTTAACAGCTTAAGCTAATTGGAATAGAAGTCATTTATTTAAATCTTGTCGTTAATATAATACTTTTTATTGATCCGCATCTCGAAAACATGTCCGCTACGATATGTAGTCTCTTCGAGTGCAATGAATGGCATTTACAGGAATCAAAATTTCGTATCATGACAGTGAAATATTATGTATACGACAAAGGATACATAATATTTCACTGTCATGATACGAGGATGAATACGGAAATAGTTGACAGATTACAGGAAAACAAGATGACATTCGCGAAATTCCCGATTATAATTGATCAAATCGATTATTGCTGCCTTTACGACAACGATGAGAATTACGTAACATGAAAATGGAAGAAAAGGAGAATTACAATGCAAAATAACGCAGAAACATGATTTCTGCAAACACGTTTCCTTTTTTTTTTATGTGTCTCATAGTCTCATAGCATTCATATCATTTTATGAAGAATGTTTTGTTTACTGGAAACTTATACTGATAACAACAAGCTTTAGCTTTTTAGAAAGCGTGCGTTGATATTTGTATTATTACTTAATAAAATTTTCCAAAAATGATCCAAGATTAGATACGATATTCGGGTAATAGAATTTAAAGATTATAAAAATAATTATTTCTTACGTATGTTTATGTTTCTAAATAAAAATTATAGAATAAATAAAAATATAACGATTCTAAAATGACATAAAACGTGCAAAATATAATGTTTATTTAGCAGATAAATGGAGAAGATTGATTAAGCACGTAGTAAATCAAATATTCTGATATACTAGATATGTATAATTACGAGTATGTTATGTAATTTAGTTACACAGAAAGAGAATATGATATATTATTTTTGACAAATCTCAATTATGACAATTCAGACATAGTTCTAATTATTAAAATTATAGCACATCCACATTAGGAATGAAAAAGCTCAATCTAATCTAAAAAGTTAACTTTCTACCCAAGCATGTTTCTCTTCTGTGACACATAGTGCTTCCGTAAAAGCCATATCTGACATTCAGTTCTAAATATAAAAAACAATTCCGCATTTGCGCTTTATTTTGCTTGACGTCAGAACCATCGCATTCTTACACTGTAACGTAATCATAAACAAAATATTTGCTTTTTACAACACATTTTATTACTTAACCATAATTTAATTTTTTATTGTAATATGCAAAGTAATCGAACGTATAGCCTAGTACCAAAATAATCTATTCATTGTTTATAAATAATTACACGATAAATTCAATAGACAGCACTAATAAGTCGTACAAGCTATCTATCTAATTCGATTGCGTTGTTGTATTGCTTATAATTCGTATATTTTGTTATTGTTAATGAAGCAAAGTGCAAAACGTCGTGATATAATAATATTTCGTAAGTAATTACTTTCTATAACTACCAAGAAATATAGGTACTTCCGTAGTTTATAAATATAATTTTGCAGCTCTATTCATATTTTACAACGATGTATTTAATTTACATTTTCGTCAAAATATTACGTTTATAACCAAAGAGGAAAAACTTTTTGTAAGATAGCAAACCAATATGATCACTTTGCCAAAAAAAAAGTCCAGTTATCTTAAAATTAATATTTCATGGTTTACATTGTTTACACTTTACATATTAGTAAAAAGTAACGTATTAGTATTATTTTTACTTTTGCATTTCGATATAATATTCTTTTCATTTTTATCGTACCTTATTGAAGATGCAAGCGACATTTTTGTATATTGCAACACTCGATTGAAATGTGCATTATTTTGTTATTCTACAATATAAGAGTGCATAGATAAAAAGCAGTGTCATGCGTTCTCTGCGAATTGTAAATGTTTGGAACAAAAATAAAACCGGCATTAGGCAATCGTTGTTTAGTACCTTAAAGATATTAAAGGTAAAGATATAAAGAAATGTTATTGATAGAATATGTATTTGTGAAAAATGATTTTTATAAAACCATAGTTCTATTTTGCTATAATAAAGATATTTGTTAATTACTATTTTAATTTTACTATGTTGCAAATTTGCACACTGAAAGACAACCGATTAAAATTATTATTATTTATCTCTATGTAATACAGATAATTGGAAATATATAGGAAAATATATGAGTTTCAATTATTTTTGATAATTTATCCGTTGTTTATATTTTCAATAATAAATTTTTTTTTATTTTCATATAACGTTTAAATCAATTTATTTTAAAGTGTTCCTAAATTTACAAAATGTCTTAAAATTAAACACATTATATAATATTATAGGTACATTCTAATAAATTAAATTTACTAAGAACACATGAGATGACAAGTTAAACACCTGTGTATATTTTAATATAATAGATTAAAGATACTTCTTTGTCATTGAAACAATATAAAATTTTTATGCATTTTATTTACATCTAAATGAGATTAAGCTAATCTTCTTAAAATAATCTCCTTTAAAAGATTCTTTAAATATCACCTTTTATGCACGCTGCTCGCGTAAGCACTTAATTATCTAGTAATGAAGTTAGACTGTGACGCACGTAAACCTGTCAATCGGACTGGGACTGAATCTGCCTACGTCACAAGAACAACGGCTAGAAGATAAATGTTTCGCAGGAAAATAGTATGGTAATTGCAAGTTTCACAGCGTGCGTAATATGGGACAGGTTTGCGGACATTTCGTTGATTATCCCGCGTAAATGCGGGATAGGCTACCCGTGCGGTCTCCAGATTCTGAGTAAGTGGTATATATTGACGTCACAAAATATACGATGCACCTTTCTCTTGCAAGAATAAAATCATTGCGCAAAGCATATTTTAAAACAAGTGATTTACGCAAATCGTGCCAATTTAATCACTTGTGTTTCTGATAAAGTCAGCATGCTATGTAGCCATGACATAGAGAATAAAATGATTTTCGAGTAAATTTTAAACTTTTTATCTTGTTTCTGTTTATATAAAATAATTAAAAATTGTATTGTATATATTATATATACATATAATTAATAAAAAATATTAATCTGAAATATACACATATCATATATATCAATGATTAATTTTAATGGAACAATAAATATCTTAGTTAATTTTGCATGATTTATATATAAAAATAAACATTCTCTTAAAAAAGAAAAGACACTGTTTCATTATATATATATATATATATATAATGCCAATTTGTAATTATAATGTTGCTTATTTAATAGATAATAGAGCATAATAATGTGCTATGCACGCGTTATTTTTTCTTACTCATGATATGATATCACTCTATTTCACTCACGATAATGAATTTAAAAAAGATTATATTTTGTAACACAGTATATGTACTTATGTTATATAATTCTAATCAATATGATCGATCAATTTTTTAGAGGTTTACGTAACATATTTACAGTAGATGTTATATTTATACTGATAACTAATATACCAATCATTATTTTGTTAATAATTTTTAAAGATTACTTAATCTT